CCTTGGTCATCTCAGAGTGTTGCTTCTTTCTCTCCTTACTTGGCTCTCCCTCAAGGGTTCAAACCCCGTGCTCTGAGCCAGCGCCAGGTTGTCACACCTCGTATCGGCGAGCGCCTCTGGCCTGCACAGCATACAGTCTCCTGGGGTGTGGTTTTACCGACTATGCAGCGCACGCCTTGCCAATTAGATTTTGGTCCGCCCCAGACCAGCCTTCCTTATCTTGACGTTGCGGAGCTGGGTCCTGGCAAATTTTCGGCATCCTTTCGGGTGGCCAGCGGGACGCGCCGGAGCCCCAGAAGAGTTCTTGTGGAAAAAGAACCAAAACCAAACACGATAGGATTCAGCACGCCAGGCACCCCTCTTGAAAGCAACAGGGGGCGGCGGATCGAAGACGCCTACGGCGAATCACCGCCGCCCCCTGTCTTTTCGGAAGCGCCTATGTGGCCGCACGTTGAGGCCAGACCTGCCAAGCTATCGGACCATGTGTTCCCCGAATCGGTTTGGAAAGCTTTCGGGGAACATGTGGGCATCTTGGATGTCATCTTGGCCGCCTGGAGGCCATTTTGACCCTTTCGGGCCTTCTTGGAGGACGTCTTGGAGGGCTCTTGGGCCGTCTTGGAGGCCATCTTGAGCGTCTTGGAGGCCTCTTCGGCCGTCTTGGGGGCCTCTTGGGGCCGTCTTGGGCCCTCTTGGGCCATCTTTGTTGGGGGCACTTGGCCCGTATCGGGCCGTCGCAAGGCAGAAAAAAAGCAAATGTCAAAATCCTTCAAAACTCATGGGAAATCACTGATTTTGGCCTTTTCGGGTCTTGGTGGGCTCCTGGCCCGTCTGACGCCGTCGGAAGCCGTTTGGGGGGCCTCTCTGTGCCGACTTGGGGCCTTCTTGGAATGCTCCAGGGCCGTCTTGGAGGCCATCTTGGGCCAACGTGGCGATCTTGGAAACCATTGGGGGCCATCTTGAGTGAACAATTGGGAGAATTGCGGGCCTTTCGGGTGGCCGGCGGGACGGGCCGGAGCCGCAGGGGAGTTCTTTTTGGAAAAAGAACCAAAACCAACACCGAAATCATTCAGCACTCCAGGCGCCCCTGCGATGAATCGACAGGGGGCGGCGGATCGAAGACGCCTACGGCGAATCACCGCCGCCCCCTGCCTTTCTGGAAACGCCTATGTGGCCGAACGTTGTGACCAGAGGCCGGCCAATCTATCGGACCATGTGTTCCCCGAATCGGTTTGGAAAGCCTTCGGGGAACACGGTGGGCCAGGCTGGGCCGACTTGGGCCTTTCTTGGGGTGCTCCAGGGCCGTCTTGGAGGACATCTTGAGCGTCTTGGAGGCCTCTTTGGCCGTCTTGGGGGCCTCTTGGGGCCGTCTTGGGGGCCTCTTGGGCCGTTCTGGGGCCATACTGGAGACCTCTTGGGCGATCTTTGGGGGCTCTTGGGCTGTGTCGAGCCGTAGGAAGGCCCAAAAAAGCAAATGCCTCAATCCTTCAACAACTCATGGGAAATGTCTGATTTTGGCCTTTTCGGGCCTTCCTGGAGGCCCTCTTGGAGGCCTCTTGGGCCGTCTTGGGCCATCTTAGGGCCATCTTCGGCCGTCTTGGTGGGCTCCTGGCCTGTCTGATGCCGTCGGAAGCCGTTTGGGGGGCCTCTCTGTGCCGACTTGGGGCCTTCTTGGAATGCTCCAGGGCCGTCTTGGAGGCCATCTTGGGCGTCTTGAAGGCTTACTGGGCCGTCTTGGGGGCCTCTTGGGCCGTTCTGGGCCATCTTGGAGGCCTCTTGGGCGATCGTGGGGCGATCTTTGGGGGCTTTTGGGCCGTCTCGGGCCGTCGGAAGGCCGAAAAGAAGCGAATGCGAAAATCCTTCAAAAACCTAAGGAACACCAACGATTAAAGCCTCTTGGAGCCCTCCAGGGGGCCCTCTTGAAGGTCTCTTGGGTCGTCTTGGGCTAGCCTAGAGCCAACTTCGGCCATCTTGGTGGGCTCCTGGCCCGTCTGACGCCGTCGGAAGCCGTTTGGGGGGCCTCTTTGTGCCGACTTGGGGCTTTCTTGGAATGCTCCAGGGCCGTCTTAGAGGCCATCTTGGGCGTCTTCGAGGCCTCTTGGCCCGTCTTGGAGCTCTCTTGGGGCCGTCTTGGGGGCCTCTTGGGCCGTCATGGGGCCATCTTGGAGGCCTCGAGGGCGATCTTGAGGCGATATTGGGGTCCTCTTGGGCCGTCTTGAGCCGTCGGAATGCCGAGAAGAAGGCACATGCCAACATCCTTCAAAACCCCAGGGAAAATCAACGATGTTGGCCTCTTCGGGCTCTCCTGGATGACCTCTTGGAGGCCTCTTACGCCGTCTTGGGCCGTCTTGGAGGCTTCTTGAGCGAACTTGGAGGTATCTTGGACCTTCTTGGGCCGTCTGGGAGGCCATCTTGCACCATCTTGGGCGAGCTTGAGGGCCATCTTGGCCGTCTTGGAGGCCATCTTGAGCCGTCTTGGAGAATTGTTTGCGGACGTTGAGGTCGTTTCCGGTCCATGGCAATCCTTCCGGGACCCCGGCGGGACGAGCCGAAGCCCCAGGGGGAGCTCCTTTGGAAAAAAAAAACATAACCAAAACCGAAATAATTCAGCACGCCAGGCACCCCTGCGATGAATCGACAGGGGGCGGCGGATCGAAGACGCCTACGGCGAATCACCGCCGCCCCTTGCCCTTTCGGAAGCGCCTATGTGGCCGAACGTTGAGGCCAGACCTGCCAAGCTATCGGACCATGTGTTCCCCGAATCGGTTTGGAAAGCCTTCGGGGAACACGTGGGCATCTTGAAGGTCATCTTGGCCGCCTGGAGGCCATGTTGACCCTTGCGGGCCTTCTTGGAGGACGTCTTGGAGAACGTCTTGGGCGTCTTAAAGGCCTCCTGGGTCCTTCAAAAACTCCTGAGGGAAATCACTGATTTGGGCTTTTCCGGGCCTTCCTGGAGGCCCTCTTGGAGGCCTCTTGGGCCGTCTTGGGCCATCTGACGGCCATCTTCGGCCGTCTTGGTGGGCTCCTGGCACGTCTGACGCCGTCGGGAGCCGTCTTTGGGGCCTCTCTGGGCCGACTTGGGGCTCTCTTGGGGCGCTTCGGGGCCGTCTTAGAGGCCATCTTGGGCGTCTTGGATGCCTCTTGGCCTATCTTGGGGCCCTCTTGGGGCCGTTTTGGGGGCCTCTTGGGCCGTCATGGGGCCATCTTGGAGGTCTCTTGGGCGATCTTGGGGCGACCTTGGGGGCCTCTTCGGCCGTCAGAAAGCCGAAAAGGCGCAAATACCAAAATCCTTCAAAAACCCAAAGGAAAATCTATGATTTTGGCCTCTTCGGGCCTTCTGAAGGACCTCTTGGAGGCCTCTTGTGCCGTCTTGGAGGCCTCTTGGGAGCCTCTTGGGCCGTGTTGGACCATCTTGAGGCCATCTTAGGGCGGCTTGGGTGCACCTTGGGCCGTCTTGGAGGCATATTGGGGCCATCTTAGCCGTCTTGGAGGCCATCTTTTTTGTCCTTTGGGAGGCGTCTTGGAGGCCATCTTGGACGATCCTGGGGACCGTTTGGAACGGAAAAACCCTTTGCAGCCGGGTCCAGGCACATTTTCGGCATCCTTCCGGGTGGCCGGCGGGACGGGCCGAAGCCCCAGGGGGCGTTCTTTTGGAAAAAGAATCAACATCAAAACCCATGTAGTTCGACACGCCAGGCACCCCTGTGATGAATCAACAGGGGGCGGCGGATCCTAGTGGCCTTCGGCCCATCCCCGCCACCGTGCCTGGGTTGTGGGTCTGAGGCCTCTTGTATATGTGTTGGCAGCCTCGCGGGTGCCTCTTGGAGGCGGTTTGGGCGCCTCTTGGGGGCCTCTTGGGGCCTCGGGGGGTTTCGTTTGGGCCTCCTGGAGGCCGCTTGGGCGCGTCTTGGGCGCCTCTTGGGGCCTCCTGGGGCCTCTTGGCGACCTCTTGGGCCTCCTGGGGGCTTCTCGGACCACATATCAAATTTTCTCTTCGTGGTCCCCTGCTTGGGCCCCTCGTGGGGCCGTCTTCGGGCCCTCTTGGGCTGTCTTAAGCGCTTCCTGGGCAATCTTGGAGCCCTCTTGGGCCGTCTTGGGGCCCTCTTGGAGGCCTCTTGGGCTGTCTTCGGGCGGTCTTGGGAGCTTCTTGAGCCGTCTTGGAGCGTCGGAAAGCCGAAAATTCGAGAAGACCAAAATCCTTCAACAACTTTTGCAAAATCTACGCTTTGGGCTTCTTGGGGCTCTCTCGGGAGGCTTCTTGGAGCGCTCTTGGGGCCTCTTGGGGCCCTCTTGGGCTCGGCAAATCGAATCTGGCGTACTTTTCGAGGGTTTGTGGCCTCGGGGACGCGACCATTGCATAATTTACGAAGGTACGCAGGCACTATATGATTTTGAAAGGTCAACGGCTTCGGGGATGCGAGCACTGCGTAGTTTCTGCGGGCGTATGGCCTCGGGGGCGCGAATCTCATGTGTCTGTACGTGCCCCACGCCCTCGGGAATTCGGGCAACGCGATTCGGGCGTGGCGAGCTGCCAGCTTGGGGCTCCCCTCCCGCGGCGGCGGCTTTCAACAGCTTGCAGCAGGAAGAGGAAAGCAGGACTGTAACACTGAAGACTTGCCTGGCACAGCCTCCTCCTCCTCCTCCTCCTCCTCCTCCTCCTCCTCCTCCTCCTCCTCCTCCTCCTCCTCCTCCTCCTCCTCCTGGCGGCGCCGGGAACAGCAAGCCTACTCCTCGCAGCCTGATGGCCCTGGAAGGGGGCCGGCGGATTTTCTTGTGCCTGACGCGGGTTCGACGCGGATTCGTGACCGAGTCGACGCGCGATTGGCGACGAGATGGCACAGACAACGGTCCCCTTAAGACGAAGCATAAGTATTTGACGCACCCTTGCTTCTCATTGTGCTTATCATCGTGCTTCGCCGCGTCTCTCTCCTGGCGGCCGCTCTGCCTGGCCACTTTGCTGGTCTGCTCCTGGCCCCCTCCCCCGGCCACCGGTGCCACCAGGCGCGGCGCGACTGCCTGGTGCTGCTTCTTCTGCGCGCCGGGTACCCCCGCGCTGGCGCGCTTGTGGCGGCTGGCCGACTGAATTCTCGGGGCCTCAGCTGCCATGATACACCTTAGGCGATGCTTAAGAAAACCTAAGTTTTCGGCCAGAGTCTCGATTATTCTTAACGTTTCAATGTGAATCCTAAGATTTTGAAGGATAGATTGGGTTTATATTCAAGTTCTGAGACTAAGAGTTTCTTAACCCATGATTTCTTAAGCATTTCGCAGGGTGTAGGCCGGTCTTGGAACGCAGCACGTACCATGTTCAAAACGTGCGTGTTAACACGCTGCGTGTCAGCTCAGCGTGTTGGCCCACGTTCCGGCGAGCGTATCGCGCCAAACACACGTCGTCGATCTCCGTGTGGAGCTTTGTAACGACACGCTGCGGTCTAGGTTTGCGCATTTGGGCAGCTAAGCCCGAGGCTTGTCTAGAATCGGGCGACGAAATCTATACATATCCACTGCTCCCTGACCATGCCCATCTTGAACCCAGGGGCTGTGTATGCGCCCTCCTGGCCAAGCCAGGAGGGCGTGGCGTATACACCGCTGCGGGGTTGAGGATGGGCCTGGCCAGGGAGCAGTGGATATGTATAGATTTCGTCGCCCTATAGAAGGTGGAAAAGTGGAAGATGGGCCTGCATGAGCCTGCCAGCGGCAGCTTGGCAAGCCCGGCGGATAGATCTGGGAGGCTGGGACCCCCGGGGCCCTTCTCTGGGAGCTGGGGGGAGACACAGAGAAGGTCATATCAGCAGGGCAAGCAAGCCCAAACAAAAACAGGGCCCTGGCGCAACAAGGAACGCGAACACTCGCAGCAAGCATGACAAATCTCCCTGCATGATCAAGTTTGAGGCTCTCAGCTGCTTCTTCTCGGCGTCATATCATGGGTACACGTTTTATCAGGGTGCAGGAGGCCCATGCAGAGTCGGTTCCCGGGGCCGTCAGGTCTCGCCAGGGTTGGAACATGTCACGCTCGCCCGACGCCCCCCTCTCCTGGCATCGCTCGGACGTGTGTATTTTTTTCTCGGCGAGGACCCCGGAGGAGCATCCTGGACCATCGAGCAACAAAACACACGCACGAAACCAACACATGCACGGGAAATGGACGTCCGAGCGCCGGCAAGCTCTTCCCTGGGCCCTTCCATTCCCTCCTCCTAAGTTGGACCCTGCGTGTGCCTTCCCTGTGGGCCAGTCGCGTGGGCTTTGAGAAGTGCGCCGCGCCTCGCGCGTCGCGGCGTTAGGCCGGCTGGCTATCTTTCCCCCGGGGTGGCGGCGCGAGGGCGCGAGGATGTTGGCGCAAGCTGCGCGTGGCGGGGCGCGACGCGCTCGGCGAGGTGGCCATCCTAGATCCAGGATCCTAGATCCTAGATCCAAGATCCTAGATCCTAGATCCAAGATCCTAGATCCAAGATCCAAGATCCTAGATCCAAGACGCGCTCAGCTAGGTGACCGTCCTAGGATACTGGCGCGCTTCGCATGGCATGATGAGAACATCCTAGATCCAAGATCCTGGATGTTCTCATCCGACGAAGCCACGCGTGCACCAGCAAACCTGGCCAGGGCCGTGGTGTGTGTATGGCCTCCTGGTGCGTACTGCCTCCTGGCCCCTGGATCCTAGCTGAGGCCACGCGTGCACCGACTCCTGCCCAGGACTCTCATCCGAAGGAGCCACGGTGTGATGGTGTCGGCCCCTCCCTGAGATCACACGTTAATTACGGAAACACTGCAACATCACGAGTCATCACAACCGCAGCCCTTGCCCCCAGATTTCATTGACATTTTCGAGCCTGATCTATCTGTCAAGGTCCCAGCGCGAAGCCGGGCGCGAAAACGCCGGGCGTGGAAAGTTGCGAAGCCCAGATCCCAGAGTCGGCCTGACCTGTGATGAAGCGTCGGCGGCCCGAAAAGGCGAGGACGCTACAGTTCGTTGGAGGCCGATGGGCCATGCAAGATTCTGGCCTTCTGGGGCCCTCTTGGTCGTCCATCGTGGGCTGTCTTTGGTCATCCGAGTGTGGATTGGCCACCCCGCCTCCGCGTCCAAGCGAAGGCAAGTCATACCGCGCGGCCTCGTCGAGCAGCCCGCCCGCTGCGGGCCACCCCACGGGGACACGCCGGTCGTTGAAAGTACAGTGCCGTTTTTAATACATGCTCCGCGTGCGGATCATGTATTAAACATGCAGGGAATTAGTATTACAAGCAAAGATGAGTTCATGCATACATTCATTCGTACATGAATCATGTATCAAACATCCGATCTATCTATCTATCTATCTATCTATCTATCTATCTATCTATCTATCTATCTATCTATCTATCTATCTATCTATCTCTCTATCTCTCTATATCTATACATATATATATATATATATGAACATCTTATGTGTTAGAAGCTGCCCTGTAGGCAGGGGGACGCCCCTGAAAGAAGCGAGGCGGGCTCCACCAGGGCCTGCGGAGCCCGGTGGCCCCTGCAGGCGGCGGGGAGCGGCGCCTCCCGGGAGCTGCTGCTGGCCGCCGCCTTCCTGCTCGACGCCACCGGCCTGCTCGCCGGCTTCCGCGCGCGACGGGGCGGCGGCTCGCCGGGGGCGGGAAACCCAGACCCCCTCGAGCAATGAAAAAATCACGACGGGAGGTTTTTCGCCATTTTCGGCCTCTGGGGGCCCTCCCCGGGCCTCGGGCGCGTCAAAAAACGACTCGGGATGACAAACCGGTCCTGGGGAAGGGGTCGGGACCTCTGGGGGTCGACGTAATGAAAAAATCAGTACGTCGGGGGTCTGGGAACGGGCCTCCTGAGGTCGGCGGCGAGCCCAGGGGGGGGGAAGCGAGAAGGGGGGAGAGGAAGGGGGGGGGAGGAGGGGGGAGGGCCTCGCGGGACTGTGCGGAGGAGGCGTCCACAGCTCTGTGAGCAGATGGGGAGCCTCGAGGCATGCGGGGCCCCTCTGCCCGAGGGGAGGCCCCACGAAGAAAAACTCGACCCAAAATGGAAGGCCCCGCGCCGCAGGGACCCCCTGCAGGCCCCAGGCCAAAAGACCACCGGGCGTGACGTGGCCGCACTAGAACTCAGAAGCGCCGTGCAGCCGCACTGCCCTGGGGGCCAGGGGCCCCATGCGCCAGCAGTCACCGCGGTCCAGTGGACCCTGCGGGCGCGCGTCGCAGGCCGAGGGAGCCCGGCTTGATCTCCGGCCCGCCCCCCGAGGGGAAGGAGGGACACCAAGTAGGGCGAGTCCAGGGACCCCGAACCAGGGGGGCCTGGCCACGGGGGGGCATCCCGAGCCCGCCCCACCCGATGCCCCATCCCCGCCCAGGGGAGGGACCCCCGGGGTGCCTGGGCGCCCAAGCCGCCCCGCCACCCTCCGCCAGTCCTGTTGTTAGTCGCCGGCTCATATTCTACCCCGCCGATGCAAGCGGCACCGACCACCCGCCGGCTCACAGGGCCCCCGGCCTGTGCGGGGAGGAGGAGGAGGAGGAGGAGGAGGAGGAGGAGGAGGAGGAGGAGGAGGAGGAGGAGGAGGAGGAGGAGGAGGAGAAGGAGGAGGAGGAGGAGGAGGAGGAGGGGAGGAGGAGGAGGAGGAGGAGGAGGAGGAGGGAGGAGGAGGAGGAGGAGGAGAGGAGGGAGGAGGAGGAGGAGGAGGAGGAGGAGGAGGAGGAGGAAGGAGAGAGGAGGGAGGAGGAGAGGAGGAGGAGAGAGAGGAGGAGGACGAAGAGGAGGCGGAGGAGGAGGAGGAGGAGGAGGAGGAGGAGGAGGAGGAGGAGGAGGAGGATCCGGCGGCGAGCGAGGGGGGGAAGTGAAATGGGGCAGGCCTTCTCAGAAGGCTCGGAAGTCTCCCGGCCTTCTGAGAAGTTCTCTGAGCCTTCCCCGAAGATGCAGGACATTTCTTGTCAGAAGGCGCGAGGGCATGTGAAGCCCCGCCGCCTTCTGAGAAGGCCTCCTCCTTCTCACATGCCCCCTCGCTCGTCCTCGGGGAACGCACCAGGATCCAGGACCCGTTCTCCTCAGGGGAGCAAGGGAAAGGGGAGGGGAGGGGAGGGGAGGAGGAGGAGGACGAGGAGGAGGAGGACCCGCCTTCCCCCCAGGCGGAGGCGGCGCGGGCGACCCGCCGCTGCCGCCGTACCCGCTGGACGCCGCCGGCCTGTGCGCTGAGCGCGCCGGCGCCGAGGAGATTTGCGCGACCGAGGTGGGCACGGTAAGGATGGGCACGGAGCCGGCAGCAGTTTTTGCCCAAATTCTGAGGTGGATAGACTAGGGGAACGAAAAGTTACATAAACATGAAAACTCGGAGGTCCGCGCGGATCTCTCGGTTCGGCGCTGGGGCCCCCCGGCGACGCCTCCGGCGCCGCCCCTGGCGCGCTCCGCGCGCCAGGGAGGGGGGTCCAGCGCCGATCCGAGAAATCCGCGCGGACCTCCGATGTTTTATGTTTATGCCACTTTTTGTTCCCCTACGGACCTCCTACCTTGACACGTCGATTGAGGAATTGGCCCTTTTCGGTTCGCGAGGGGGCGTCGCGGCCGTCGCGTTTGCGGGTCCAGGTCCGTCGGCTTCGGTCCCAGGCCGTTCTCACCAAGGGGAGCTTTACTGAAGGGTCGGGGGAGCGTAAGACCCGCCTCGGATTTTGACGAGGAGGAGCTTCGTGGGACGTCTGCAGCGGGAGGCCTCGTCAAAATGCAGGCTCGGCCTCGTCATTTTTGTTGACGACCTCGTCGGGGATTTCCGAGTCCCCTGTACCCAGGTCTTACGTCCCCCTGAAAGGGAGGCTTGTCCACCGCCGACAAGTGGGTTTGCGGCCGTCGCTTTTGCGGGTCCAGGTCCGTCGGCTTCGGTCCCAGGCCGTTTTCACCAAGGGGAGCTTTACTTCTGGACGCCCGAGATGGGCACGGAAAGAATGGGTGCGATGCCCAGCAGCAGTTCCTGTTCATTCTGAACAGGATTCGCTGTCCACGCCGCCGCGGCCTGTGTCCATTCGAGACAGAAGGCCGCCTGCCCAACAGCGGCCGCTGTTGGTTTGGGACAACATGTGTTGTTGGGCATTGTACCCATTCTTTCGGTACCCATTTCGGGTGTCCAAATTACTGAAGGGAGGCTTGTCCACCGCCGACAAGTGGGGCCGGGGTTCGCCGTCTGTGTCGCCGCGGGCGTGGCCCATGGCGGGCACGGGCCGCGAGCGCGCGTGCCCCCCACCGCGGTGTTTTTTTTTTTCCGCTGGGGATCCCAGCCGCTGTGGGGCCTCGTGCCCGGCTGTTTTGTCGTATACCTTCTGCGGCATCGGCGCGGCGTGCCCAGGGGGAGGGCACAAGTCACCAGCCTGGAACATATCACATGCCCCCATCCCTCTGATTGGCGTCGCCCCGTCTCGATGCCGATCTGAGGGAGTCCCTCCGCTTCTGAGGGCGCAGCTCTGAGATCGTCGTCGACTTTTGCCAGGAGGGGAAAAAACACACAGACACAATTAATCGTCGATTCCCCAGAAGATATGGGAAAATATGGGAATTGGGCGGGAAGACAAAAAAACAGAAACTATGGGGAATGATGTTATTTGTGTGTATTTACTTGTGCGCCCCAGGGCCCCTTCATTTTGGCTTGTTAATCTTAGGGATAGGGATACGTCCGAGGCTGGTCAGCAAGGAAGCCCCTGGGGGCGGGCGCGCCGGGGCAGCGGTATAGCCTTCGGGGGGGGCCCTCGTCGCCACGGCGGCACGCAGCCCGGAACACCTGGTGCGCTTGGGCCTCGGGAGGGGTCCAAGGAATCGGTGCTGTCAAGCAGTGGCGAAGCGTCCCTGTCCCTGCTCGCTCTCCCCCTCCCTGCCCAGCCCTTCCCCGAACAATGTCTCTTGTGTTATGTTGTCGTCATTCTCCTTTCTCCCCCATTCCCTCCCCCTCCTCCCCCCCATCCCTCCTGCAGGGGCTTTCCCAGTTGCGTCGGCTCGATGGTTGGTCGCTCTTGCTAGCGTCGGCTCGACATGTTATGTTGCCGTCGCCTCGCGGCGGGCCTCAACAGGGGGGTGGCCCAGGGCGGCGGGACCAGGGGTGAGGGTGGCTTGGAAGCTTATCATATAGCCCCACCAAACAATGTTCTAAAAACCTTTTGTGGTTCCCACGAAATGTTCTTTTAGAACACTTCTGGATGGGACTGTCTTGTTTTAACACATCGGGTTCACGTTCTAAGAACATTGTCTTTGTTCTTAGAACATGTTTGGGGTTCTGAGAACATTTCGTGGTATGACTATAGGAATGCCGGGACGGTCGGTCCCTAGTCAATTCTGAGCTGCCCCCCTTATCCCAACTCGCTCTGCGCTGCTGCAGGATGGCGGCGTGCCCGAGAGGGGGGAGCAGAGGGGGTGGTGGGCCCTCGTAGAAGGGTCGAAAGGCCCCCGGCCGCTCTCGACGAATGGGGCTGCGTGCCAGAAGATACAGTTGAGGCCCATGCCAAGAAACACCCTGCTCGCCTCCAGGGTGCCCTGGGTTGCTTGGGTTTCGATGGTTTTGCGATTGGAAGCGTGACGCTCCGACGCCAACACTCCATGGACGTCCTGGGGTCTTAGGGTTGGGTTTCCTGTGGTCGCGTCCCTACTGTATGGGTGCAGTGATATCTGCCTAATCTGGGGGGCACGCAATGGGGTGGGGGCGATGAATAAGGGGGCAGCGAGTGCTGCCGAAAAGCGGGCCTTCAGGGCCCCTAAAGGAGTCCTTTCGGGCCCAGAAGGGGCCCTTGAGAGGCTTCTTCCCCCCCCGCGTATCGCACCCTGTTATTTCGCGCCCGAGATATGGCGTAAACCGTTGTTGTATCGTTGGATTCTGGACCTGTCCTGTCGGCTGTGCAGGATGGTGCGCACGAGCGATGCTGCTACACGCGCGAGGCGGAGGCAGGCTTCAAGCGAGGGCAAACAACTGCGCCTCGCGAAGACGCTATCCAGTACTGTTGCCGCTACCGCTGCCCTTTCCTTGTTTCCGTCTTCTTGAGCGTCCTGGGAAGCCTTCGTCGACATGGCTGGATTCGCTTCGAATTCTTGGTCAGAACGCAGACCTTGAGAAGTTCAGGGGGTAGCGGTATCTGTATCTGTTGGTTTTCCCGCAGAAGGCCTCCGGCCTTCTGAGAAGCTCATTGGGCCTTCTCTTCCCCGGTAAGCCGCGGCGAAACCCGAACCTCGCCCTCGCCGATCAGCGATTCAGGCAACTCGATGGGCGGCGGGGGTAGGGCTCGGCATTCGTCGAACACGTGGTGAATTCCGAACCCTACAATCAACCCGCAAAGTGAGGGTGAGCAACGTTCCAAGGTTAACTTGGCATCCTTCCCTTTCGGCCCATCCTTGGCCGCTTTCGCGGGCCCCGCCCCCCCGCAGAGTGTCGACATGGCCTTCCAGGGCCTTTATACCCTCACTGTGCGTTGGATACGGGTTGACTGTGCCACTATCGCCCAGATCGGCGTCATCTTTCCTCGGTGGAGGCACACCGCAGATACACCCACCAGAAGTTTGAAGAAAGAGCAGGAACTGGCATGGACTCCAGATTTCGCTCACGAGAATCAAGAATCCGCAATGGACCCTGGGCGTTT